TATCTGAAATATGTCATCATTGAACTAACAGGAAAAGAGCTAGGTCTCTATCACAATCTTCTATCTAAACATGTACCTGTATATCCTATTAAATGCTCTTGCATATACACTATTTGAAATTATAATGGATCAAAAATTCAAAAAAACTTTTAATGATTTCAACTTTCTCTAACATCTGCATTTGCGTTTACTGATTATAAATGCTAAGGATTTACTCTCAAAAAAGCCATCATTGATCTAACTAGCAGTAATAAAAACAACAGTATATATGTAATGCTTTTCTATATACAATACTTAAATAATTTGCTAATTCTACTACCATTTAATGATTTTATATTAAACATGCAAATCTCACTTGCACTTTATACTGAATTTGAACAGCTCAAAGAATGTGAACTTAAAACTATCTAATTAAAAGAATAGCCATTTATTTAAACTCTACTTTTCTTATTCATTAGTTTTTTTTCAATAAACCTTATATGTTTTTAGTCTTTTTATTTTCTTATTCATCATTGCTATAATATACCATACTGTAATTTATCTTATTACAATTTGCAAACTAATTATGATAAAGATCATCAATTATAAATATATATATACTGTGCCTGCAATCATTACTTCATTAAATGCTTCGCACAACATTGTATTTCATATGATTCTTACATTATTTGCATAATTTGTAATTTTTATAAGTAGATCTTCTTAAAACTAAAGTCTAAGAACACACCCTTAAAAGACAATAAGAGAATATGCATTCATAAACATTGAATATATGTATTTGAATCAAATTTAAATAAACATTTGAAATTAATGACTTATAGAAAAAATGCTTATGAGATTTTTGTTATATATAAAACAATATAAACAAATTAATTCTGTTTTTATTTATAATAAAATCTCCAAAAATATATGCACTCTCTAAATGCATACTCAACTCTAATTAAAATATATACAATATGTATAAATACACTTTTTCAAACAATTATATAAGCACTTAAGTTTTACTATATATGAATAACACTCAAAACCATCTTAATAAATACAAACCTTTTTGTATATTTTAATATAAAAAATATATAATACTAATCATTTGCTAATTAATATTCTACATAGCTTTAAATACAAATCACAAAACTAATTATTTGTAATTTAATATAACTTACTCTTATAATAATATTTAATTTGTGGCTTTTTTTTAAAAAAAATTTTGTAAACTTAATTCATATCTAAATTGCAATACTTAATATTAGCAAATTAAATTATCAAATTTATCTAATTACTTTTAAATATTATGTGAACCAATAATGCCTGAAAAATAATTACAAAAATAATTAATCAAAAATATTAGTCTATAAAGTACAACAATATTGAACATTGCCTTATCACAAATTTTTTAAAATGTGTTTCATGATTAAAGAAATTTCTAAAAAAACACCTATCTCAAATATAGCTAATTCTAATCTATATATAGTCTAAATATTAGTGAATTGCATCAAATTATGTAATCCTAAAAGCTTTGGATATCGATCTCATAAGAAATTCCACTTCTAATAAATACAATTAAAAGAATCTCTATTCTCTGTTATTATTCAATACTTTACCTTCTAACAAATGCACTAATGACAACAATTACAATAACAATCATTGTCAAGTTTAATGCTATTTACAGCACAAATCAATGCTATAAAATAATTAAAAAAATTCAATGCACCCCTTCTAAAACCAATTAATAATTATGAAAAAAATCATTACTGAAAAAGTAAATGATTAGTGCATACTAATATTAAAGAAGATAAATGCTTTTAAGTAAATTTATGAATTTCAAAAAAAAATCAATAACATGGTGTACTTAACCAAAAATCATTCAGTTTAAAAGACCAAACACATTTTTAAATAGATAAGAAATTGTATATATAGTAATTTAGCAAAGCAATAAAAAAATAATAATAAACATGAAATTAAAAATCCACATATTGAAAACTAAAACACATGTAATTTGTCAAAAAATGTAAAAACAAAAAAAAACAAATTAGTGATTAAAAAATTATTCCTATAATATCTAAAGCCTGTAGCATTATATAAATATTATAAAGCATATTAAATATTTTTTATTTAATCGAAAAAATATTAGTGTTAATAAAAAAGAAAATATATATAATTCACTTATTCTGTAGTGAACTAATGATTCTAGAATAAAAATTTATTATAAAAAATTCTTATCAATAATGTTTTAAGAACCCATAGCACTTTTACTGATCCATTATGAACTTTCAAAATTTGAGTTTGTTATATTCAGAATTGACTATATATATAGATTTTTTTTTTTTTAGTTGACAAAATCTTTGTCTTAATAAAAAAGATTGACTTGATTTTTAAATTATCATATGAGCAATTATTAATTCAATTTATTAAAACTTTTTAAGGTTATCTATACATTAATTATTAAATAAGGCTAAATAGAATACCTATTATTATTATTTTTGTTTGAATATCATATTAAAGATAGTGTTAAACTAGCACAGTTATACATTCATTAAAATTTTTACAATTTATATTCCATATAAAAATTAAACATATGTATATAACTTTACAATATAAATAAAACTGCCTTTCTTTATTAGCAAAAACAATAAACAGATTATACTAGCTTCATACATCAGACAAACAACAAATAGTTTGTTAGTTTATTGGTTCTAAACTTATAAAGTGAAATTTCAACAGAGTAGTTATCTAGACCTAAACAAACATATTTGATATTGATAAATATTATACTATTGTAAAGCATTACATTTACATATATAAAGTAGTTTGTTATATTAATAAGTGAACCAAATTAATTTAAAAATCAAGACAAAAAAAATTTTATTTACTAATTTATATTTACCTAATAATCTGTCATTATATTTCTTATATGCTTAATAACTACAGTTATCAATACTTATATTCCTTTGCTAAATAATGATCATCTCTCAAACTTAAATCATGTCTCAATTGTATATAGTTATTTAAATTTACATTTCTGGACCTTGATTTGTAAATTCCTCTAAAATTAATCACAAGCTCAAATAACATTATAATAACCTTATAATTATATAATTTACTCAGATTGATATTAAGAATTTTAGATTCAACTTTTTAATTTAGATTACTTGGATTCATTTAACCCTTTGGGAACACTACCTATTGTATATATTTTAAAAAATCTATTTCTGGTTTTGCACAATGATGTCACACAGCTATCTAGTTTTTATTTTTTCAAGCTCTACTACCTCTAAGCTTTTCCTATTTGTATTTTATTCTTTAACTAAATGTAATTTTTGCAGCTCTTTCTTTTTTACTAAAGGTCTCAGTATTGCTTCCTAGTAGGTTTTGTAATTTTTTCTATGTTTTGCTTCTCACCAATTTTTGGTTAAGAGATCTACAGAGAAGAGTGAATTGTCTTAGTTGGTATATTGTAATTATGATTTGTTTTAATTAAAGCTTTAGATATAAGGTCTTTAAGAGTAAAATCAAAATAGAAAAAGTTTGCTTAAAATGGTATTCAGTCAAATAAGTGATGTTTTTGAATTTTACAAATATGTTTATAAAGCTAATTAGTAGATAGGTTAAGACCTGCTTAGATAAAATATGCTAAATTAATAAATTAATAATATTTGTAATAAAAATAAAGTTGAGACAAGTTAGTCAGTATGATAAGAATTAGGAAGATTACATCAAAAGCAGTTAGTATTTGTAAAAATAGTTGCATATAAAAATAGTTATTATAAAATGCACCTATGGTGCTTAGCACCAACTATGTTACATATATTACATAATATTTAATTGCATAATATTTACAAATATTTGTTATACACTACAATTGATATTTATTAAACTTTCAATTTTTTTTTTTACCTATTTTGGCTTTGACTTTTACTTATTTTAGTTTCAATTTCTACACATTTTAACTTTGATTTTTACTTACTTTAACTTCTATTTTATTTAGTTTAGCTTCGATTTTACTTATTTTAACTTCGATTTTTACTTACTTCAGTTTTGATTTTTCTCATTTTAGCTTTTCTCTGTATCACTTTTTTACATTTTTTTATTATATTTTTCTTGGTTTTTTACTTGGTTCACATTTTCACTTTATACTATTCTTTTATTACTTCTTTGTTTGTATCACCTTTCATTTACCTCTAGGGTATTTTTCTCTTTACACCTCTTCTGAATTATATTCTTACTTCAAATCATATTTTGCTCTTTCTCTGTCAATTGCCTATAGGTCACCTTGTCCTTTCATATCACTTTCATCCTCTAGGTCACTAGTTATGTTTACTTTGGGTGGTATTTTTTTTCTTTAGATTGTATTTATTTCTATTTACATTATCTAACTTTTTGGTTTCTTTTTCTTTCAGGTTACATTTTCTTTTTATATCGAATCTTCACTGCACAAATTATCTTCTTTGGTGAGTTGCTTTATGCATATCATTTTTACCTTTTAGTTTTATTTACTTTGGATGCATTTTTTTTTCTTTTAGATTGCATTTTTTTTCTTTTTCATTTTATCTAACTTTTTAGTTTGCTTTTTCTTTCAGGTCACATTTTTTTTTCATGTCAAACCATTATTGTGAAAATTATTTTTTTTGGTCACTACTTTTGTGTTGTTTTATGTGTATGCTTTTGCTTTCTATAGCTCTATGTAAATTTACTTTTAGTAGCATTTTTTTTCTTTTAGACTGCATTTTTTCTATGCCATCTTTTTAATTTGCTTTTCTTTCTGATCACGTTTTCCTTTCGTATTGCATCTTCACTGTGAATATGATCTCTTTAGGTCATTGCCCTTTGTGTTGTTTTACATCAATGTTTTTTTGGATCATTTTATCATTGAGCATGAATAGCTGGTCCTTTTTTGATATTGATGATAATCATGATGTTTTTATAAGTGATAATGAGACTTCAATGACCTCTATAGATGTATTCAACAATTTTTTAATACTCAAAACAATAACAAAGAGAGAATGACTAAAGAGAATGTATCGAATTTAGAAGGTGAAGACAATGTGTCGAATTTAGAAAGTGAAGAGAATGTGTTTGATTTAGAAAGCAAAGATGAAGAAGATACAGAACTTGCATATTCATTAGTTGAAAATCAGGCCTTCGAATCTTGGGAAGCTGTTGATAAGTAAATATATATCAAGTTAAGCTTTTTGTTGGAAATTTGCAATTGATTGTTTTTTTTAATACTTGATTTAGGTGGTTTGAACTTTATAGTCAAGAAAATGGTTTTGCATTTTGTGTAACTTATAGTGACCATAATAAAGTCGATAAAAAACTGAGACATCGTGTATATTCATATATAAAAAGACAGAACTATGTTCAACACAAAGAAGCATATGTGCTTGATGAGAGAAATAAAAGTCATAAGGCAAAAGATTGTCCCTATCATGTAAATCTATATCAATAGAAAAATGATAATTTAATTTGAATTTCAAGTATTATTGGAATGCATGACTATGAAATAGTTAAAAATATTATGATGGCTAAACCAAAATACTGGCGGTTAACAAAAGAAATGAAAAACAATGTTCAATTACTTTCGTCTTGTGGTGTGTGAGCTGGAGCGATTATTAAGGTTTTATAACAAAAATACCTAGAGAAATACATTCATGCTTGTAATGTGTACAATTTAATATAATCGATTCAGTGTAAGAAGCGTGTAGAAGGTGATGCAGGTAGTACATATCTGGAGCTGATTAGAAAACAATGCGATGAGCCTGGTTATTATATTGACACAAAATTTGAAGGGGCAGACAATTACTTGGTTGGTCTGTTTTGGATGCAACCAAGCTAGATACAACTATAGGCAGATTTTATAATGTTGTTCTAATGGACACAACCTTTAAAACTAACTGTTATTTGATGAAGCTTTGTATTGTAATAGTTATTGATAATCATAATTGTTCACATTTAGTAGCAACTGTGGTTATTTCTAATGAGATAAAAGAGACTTTTTTATAGATTCTGGAAAATTTACTTAAAGCATCAAATGGTTTGGCACCAAAGCTATTATTTACTGATACTAATTATACAATAGTGGCCACTATAAGTAAAATGTTACCAAATACAAAGCATTATTTTGCCTTTATCACATTAGAAAAAATCTTGAAAAATGTTTTCTGGGTAAATATAAGGGAGAAAATGAAATGAATTTTTTAGTATGTTTTGTTATATACAAAATAACCATGTTAAAGCAAATTTGAGGAATGCTGGACAGACATAATACAACAATATTCTGATTCTGCATCATATTTGGTGAACCAACTATATCCTTGTTAAGGTGCATGGTACTTTGCTTTACTTATAGATCATTTAATGCAGGTGTGCAAATGACACAACAGGTTAAATCTTACAATAGCCTCATCAAAAAACATGTCAATGGCACTATGTCTCTGTTTGAATTAAGTAAAATTATTGAAAAACTGCTCATTAAAAAGGGTCAGTTTCAGTGTTTTAATGAGGTTGTAGGTGTGCTGCCAGATATTCATAATAAGGACTACTATAGCAGATATTTTAAAATGGTTGATAAATCATGTCAGAGATTTTTGACAGCAGCAATTCTTAAGATGAAATGAACTATAGTATTCATTATCAGGTACAGTTAGCAGATTCAGGTGAACTTGAAAATCAGGCATGTTTTATGTTATAAATAAAATGACTTGTTATATTTATTAGATGAAATGAGCTTCTTAATTTTTTTTTTTTTTTAGTTAACTGACATTGATGATATATCAACCAGAATGTTTACTGATGATATATTTGACACATTTGTAATTGAACTGGAATGACTAATAATTAATATAGATTGCACATATATCTATGAGATTTGAAAAGTTTTATCAATTGACAGAAAGAGCCATCATTTTGTATTATTATATGAAAAGGCTATGCATTTTTGCATCTGTTTAATATTAATTAATCGTGGTATTTTCTGCTGGCACTTTTTTGCAGTAATGCTATTATCAAAAATCACTAGGTTTTATGTCAAGCTTATATTATGCAAGTGGTATTTAGACAAATTAATTGTGAAGAAGATATTAATATTACAAGCGAGTCAGCAATTTTAGCAATATCTAGTGATCAGTTTGGATTGTTTGAATATAATCTACAAGTTAATTTTATACAACCTGATAGCATTCGTAATCATTATGTTTTCACAAATAAAGTTCATAAAAAGATATCACATAAGCAGCAATAAGGTAAGAGGTTTGGTATTCTAAAGAAGACCCTTGAATTGGTGATTGCTACAGGAAAATATAAAAAATTATATGAATTACACCTCAAACTCTCAAAAAAAATGGAGATGAAACTGACCAAAAACAAATAGTATAATGTTTTAAATAATGATTCTGTCGAATTTGCAACTACAATTAGCAACCCAGTTGGCATCTATTCAAAGGGTCAAAAACCAAAAAATGCAAGTGAAAAGCATTTAATGATGATAGTAGGCATAAAAAAAAACCAAAAACAGAATGTACAAGTCAAGTTGATTATATTGAGGTATTGAATATTGATAGAAATCAAAGAGTTAAATTGAAAGATATTTCGAATTTAGGAACTAGCAGGAGTTTTACCAACCATAAGAACATATCTAATAAATTATAACTTTAATATGTGAACATGAATTGGCCTAATTAACAACTAAATTTTATAGCTTAAGAAAATTATAACAATCATGAAAATATTGGTGAATCATCATTATTGGTTACAAGGTGCAATGCTAAAAGCTTAATTAGAATGGGTAAGTTTTGAAGTTTGACAGTAGTATTACTTAATATTATATATTGTATGGTCATAATTTTAATATACACAATTGGAATTGGTCTAATTAACAAATAAACATTATAGATCAGAAAGATTATGACAATTATGAAAGTGAATTTTTGGTAACAAGTCAGAATGCTGAAAATACTGAAAGTTTAATTAGAATAGGTAGTTGTTTGATAGTATGATAATATTAATACATGCATTTTGAATTGGTTTAACCAATAACTAAATATTATAAATCAGGAAGGTTATAACAATCACAGTGAATTTCCATTATCGATAACAAGACACAATTCTGAGAGTTTAACTAAAACAGATAATTTTAAGATTTCTTCTTTTCATATAAGCCTATATAGTGCTATGTATTATTTAATATTATATACTAATATCATAGTCAACAAGAATATTACTAACCATGATAATAAGTCTCATCTGTGTGGTATTTGTGGCCAAGCAGGCCATAATTCTCACACATGCAACTCAGATGGATCAAACAATTGTAAAAATATTGATGTTGAGAGTTCAACAAGAACAGGTAAATTTAATATTATCTCGTATTTAATGTTAATGAGTTCGATATAATATGTACTAATAATTATTAATCTGTATATTATAGTCGACAAAAACCTTACAAATTATGGAAGTAAGTCCCACAGTTGTGGTTCTTGTGGTCAAACTGGCTACAATGCATGCATATGCAGCACAAAAAAGTAGTTGTAAGTATGGATTAATAATTTTTATAAATGTTACACTTATTATATTCATGCATGATGTTGTAAAATGCTTGTCTTACAAATTTAATAATGTATTTTGAGCCCAATGTGAGATAATATGTAGTAGATAGTATGATAGCATATGTATAGAATTTAAATAAATAATTTTAAAATTTTGGATTTGAATATGTTCTCAAAGTTTCTTTTTATCAAGTTTAACCTTTTTTAATAATTAGGGTTAGAGTGAATGCTATATTGTTCTTTTTTATGTTGAGGTTAATAGATAAAATAGTTTGAGTTAATGGTTTTATTTTTTTTATTATTGCTTTACTCTATACTGATTCATGTTGGGCTTAAGATGTTGGTATGTGCTAAGAGTCAGGGATGTTATCAGCTAATTTGGCTCTATTTGTTAGTCGTTTTTATAAATTTACAAACTGAAAAAAGCTGATAACATTTATTTATTAATAAAAATGTATTGAGTCAACAAGAGTGGCTCCAAAGTGCTAATGCTTTCTAGCTACAGCATGTAAAATATACTATCTACTCTGCAATAATATTATAAACTATAAATTTTTACTTTATTGCATAGTTAATAGTATACTTAAATGCTATGGCTAAAAGGTATTAGCATTTTGAAAAGCTGCCCTAAATAACTTGTGTTTGTTTGCATTGGTTTTAAAAAAATAATATATGAATCATTTATATTCTAAATATATGGTGTTTAGCACCTATGGTGCATTTTAGTAAACTTGTATAAAAAAATCAAAAGTTATATATTGATTAATAACCAAAGAATATAATAATATAAATTATCCTGCCAATTTATAATAATTGTTATACTAATTGATATATAATAAAAATAATATAAATCGATATATAACTAAGCAATTATAATTAATATATGATCTAAATAATTAGAATCATGTTAGATAATTTATTAATTATAATTATTTAGATTATATATTGATTATAACCAATAGATAACTATAAGTTAATTATAATTAATATATATTAATATATGTAGAAAATTAGAATCAATATACAAAATCATTATATTAAATATTACTGTGATTCACTTTTATATTTATCAACTTTAAGCAAATAAAATTTATATATTTAAATTGAATATAATACATAAGATACATTTTGTATACAATATATAAAAAATTACAAAAAAAAACAATGCCACTATATTAGGAAAATGTTTGGATAGTTACTAATCAATATATATCAAAAAATCGATATATATTGATTAAAATATAATGATATATATCAGCAAGGTAGTTATAAATTGATATATATCAAAATCAATATATATCGATAAATGGATATGTATTAATATTAACAAAAAATCAATTATGATTGAAATTATTTAAATTAATACATATCATTATTTACAAAAAAATCAATTATCTTCAATTTTATTTTAATTAGTACATATCATTATTTACAAAAATTTGATTATGATTGAAATTATATGAATCAATACTTATCATTATTAACAAAAAATTGATTATTTTCAATTTTATTTAATTAATATATATATAGACTTATTGTTATCTATCAAAATATAATATACATAATATACACTTAAATATTGATATACTTTTAAATTAGAAAATGAAACTATTCAATAAATATTCATTTATTTTATTAAATCTTAGGACTATATGCACTGTCTTATCAATACTATCTAACAGTATACAACTATAATGTTTAAGTAACTTCAATTTAGGATAACCTCATAATTCACCAACTTCCTCATACCAATGGACTAAGGGGAACTCTAGTGGCTCTTAGTTTGTTTGATAAAATTTAAATATAAGAAGTACTTTGAAATAATATTTATATTATTAATTTACCCTTAAAGTATTATTTGCTTATAATTATAATTTACGATTGTTAGCAAATTTTAATAAAAAAAATTGAATTAAACAACTATTTGATACATATTAAGCCATACCAATTTATTTCTTCATTATTTTTATAGCCACTAATCACAATGTTTGAAAATATAGGACTTCTATAGAAACTAGCAATAACATAAATTATATCTGTACTTTCTAATAAAGCTAAAGAAAATACCTGTATATAATTAAAATCATTAAGAAACAAAATTGGTTCCTCTTCAAAAAATTCATCAAGACTGGTTAAAAGGTTTTGAAACCTCTCAAATTGTAATGGATTCAGATTATTTTTATTGCTTTCAAGAAAATTGTTCAACTTATTCAAACTTAAAGTCCACATAGAGTTTTCAAACTCTTTTACTCGGTAATATTTCTTTTTGGCTTTTTTTTCAGTTAACTTCTGCCATATAATCTAATATAACAATTATTCACAGTTAAAATTATATTTAACCAAATAATATATTGTAATATATAACAAAGTAATAACTTAATTACTAGATAATATATGTATTTAAATATATTTACTAGTAAATATGTTTAAATACATATATTATCTAGTAATTAAGTTATTACTTTGCTATATAT